AGTCTCCATTTCTGAGGATAGTAACTCGGAAAGGAGCTGAAGTTACAATCACACATAAAGAAGAAAAGCAGAAAGAGTTACCAGATGCAGAGATAACCTTTACAAAGAAATCCACACCATAGAAAGATCTTTATAAAGAAATCCACACCATAGAAAGATCTTTACATAGATAAGACACACCAGCTTGAAGAATATTACATGAATAAGAGAAGAGAAAGAGAAAGAGAAAGAGAAAGAGAAAGAGAAAGAGAAGGAACTGGAAAGGCTCGCAGAGGCTTCTGCTAAGGAGAGAGGGAGATTCAGAGAGAGAGAGAGTTGCAGAAGATGCAGGCTCTTCCCAGATGATCCTTTCTTCGTTGTGCTTCGTTCGCCTTTTATAGGGGACGGATTTCAAACGGATTTAGCTGGATTGGAGTAGGAGGCCAGGTGGAAAAGGAAAGATTCCTTCGGTCGGCTGAATAGTGAGACAGCTGGAAGATTGCTTTGGACAGGTGGAAAGTTGGAAGATTCGTTTGGTCTTCAGATGTGACCTTAATGGTTGCTTTATAAAAAGTTGTCCGAGGCTGATTGGCTGCTAGCTGTGATGGATTGTCGTCTTTCATCGGCTATTGATGTGATATTGTCGGTGGAGCTGCTTTAGATACAATTTTATGTACAGTGACAACAACTTTATGTACAGTGATGACAGTTGGTAGATTCCTTCTTCTTTATGTACAAGTAATGTTGTCGGCCATTTTTCTTTATTTCGGGACTTCGGGTCAGAACGGCGGCCTCTTGCTAAACTCATCATTATCTTCATTTTCTGTTTGAGATGCTGAATTCTCTTCAGATTCTTCTTTGAAAATGTGTAGAAGTTGCTTTTCCAACTCCCTTGGTGGCTTTAGGGTTTAGTTTGCGCATTCTCTTAACATAGTCAGAAAACTGATTTAGGGTTTCATTGGGAGAATCATATTAGGGATTATTTGGGGATAATTATGGTATTCTTTTTAATTTTATAAACTCGGGATCCAGATGCTTACTATAAAAAACATTCCACCATTTTATGAATATTCTTTTTCCCAATCTAGGGATATATTCAAAAGTATCATCATTATTTTTTGAGATTCCATACTCCCATTTAACAATCCAAGGAATCTAATATATTGACATAAAATATAAATGATAATCTATATTTTTATTTTTGCCATTATATTCGGCAAACTTTCCCTGGGATAATTGCACCTTTTCGGGCAATATCTGTGATCCTGATCCCCATATAAGGAACCAATATCGAAACCAACTGGGAAATGGTTCAAAAATTGGCATTTTAAATTGCACAAATCAAGTATGGGAATAATTCGTATTTTGATATGCAAATATTTTGTGCCAAGCATCAATGTATTCAGAATATTTGAAATATTTATTTGGGAACTCTGGATTCTGTAATTTTTTTTCACAAGTAGGGTTGCAACCCCAATCATCATAGGACAATATTTTTCGTATTTGCAATTTGCTATATCCAATCATCTTTGTATTACTATGATAGAACTGAACAAGGGAAATTGAGCTGGTTTCTAGTAGAATGGCTTCATACCATTCTCTAGATTTATTTCCATTGGTTGGGCTCAGATGGTTTAAAAAGTATAGGGAGGCTAGCTTATTTGGGTCCGTCTTTATATATTTATCATCGATAATGATATCAATGAGGAAAGAAGTTTCCCCAAAAACAGATTTTCCAGAGCTTGATACTTTATTTGGGACAGGAGAGGTTATGAATCTTGGGTTTGGACTTGTTGGAATTTGACTGGAATAGTCAGGATAATTTTGTATTGATCTAATTGGTGACAAAGGTGGATAACTGGTTAGAGGAGAGCTTGGTGATGATGGTACAATTTCCATAGGAAGTTTTCCTTTATCCATAGTGGATATTTTTCTATTTATAGATATTTTTCTATTTATATTGAAAAGTTGCAAGGCCAAAGGCTTTTGCTCTTCCAGTTCGGGGTCAAAGTCTAGAGTCCTTCCCTCCTTGCAAAAATTCACGAGTAAGAAAATCGGGAAGAGAATTATGTTTGCCACTAAGATGTTCAATAGTAAAATCAAAACTAGATAAAATAGCTTGCCATCAAACAAAGATCTGTTTTGCTACAAGATTTTGGACATCTTTCTGTAGTATATATTTAGCAGACTTACTATCAGTCCGTATAATGAATGAAGTATTAAGTATATCACTTTGAAATTTTATTACACAATGAACTATCGCAAGAATTTCTTTTTTAATAGTGGAATAATTTTGTTGTGTAGTATTCCAGGCTTTAGATGTATATGTAATTAATTGTTCCTCTTCATTATTTAATTTTTGTTTAATTGTTCCTCTTCATTATTTAATTTTTGTTTAAGAATTCCTCCGAGACCATATTCTGATGCATCGCATTCTATAATTTTAACTGCACTTGGATCTGCCAAGGCTAAGCAAGGCAATTCTTGTGCTTTTAGTTTTATTTTTTGTACTTCATTAGTATGAAGTGTCTTCCATATATATATATATATATATGAACAATGATCAAATGCAACGGTTGTATCATAGTGTAATGCAACGACACTTCTACAACACCATGTTTGTGATATTTGTATGACCCCAAATTTTGCACACACACTCTCTTCATCTCAATAATCAATCCCCCCCAAAAAAAGAAAGTTCGATTTGAACCCTAGATATGTTCAAAATGAGTCCCCTCCAAAAATGAATCTAGACCATTTATTTTGTGAATTTAAAGATCTTAGCCTTTAAAAACTCAAAATCATTTTTTTCTTTTTTAACATTGTTCATCTAATGATAATAAAGCCATCCAAAAAAATTGGAAATGAAAAAATCCTTTTAAGGCTTAGATCTAAGCATCTCACCAATATGAATGGCCTATGTTAATTGGGCTAAAAAAATACTTTCTATGTTGTGTTTTCAAAGTTTTCTTTTTTTGTGATTGTTCATTAGAATGGAAACAACGTATATGTCAAAATTTGGATCAAACAAATGGCCATAAGATGGTCTTTTAAAGTTGTTGCATTATATTACTGTACAACGGTTGTATGAAATCATTGCCCTATATATATATATGTATATGGAAATGTCACCATGTCATTATAATATAATGAAACCACACTTCTAGAAAAGCATATTTGTGGTATTTGTAATACCCAAATTTTGTATGCACTCTTTTCATCTCAATAATCAATCTCAAAAAAAATAAAATTTAATTTGCACCCTATATATGGTCAAAATGAGTCCCCTCCAACAATGAATATAGAACGTCCATTTGGTGAATTTCAAAATCTAGGCCTTTATGAATTCAAAATCAAAATTTTCTTTTTTAACATTGTTAATCTAATGGCAATAAAGTTATCAAAAAAATTTGGAAAGAAAAAAGATCTTTTGCCCTAATCTAAGCATCTCACCAAAATGAAGTGTCTATGGTAATTGGGTTAAAAAAACATTTTTAGATTGTGTTTTTTCAAATTTTTCTTTTTTGTGATTGTTCATTAGAATGAAAAAAGTGTATATTTAAAATTTTGGGTTTTATAAATGACTCTAATATAGTTTTTGTAGTATCTTATTTATCAAGTAAGGGTGTATGTATAAATATCACGAAATACATGGGGTATTTTTGTCATCTTTTTGAGAGGTAAAATTGAAATTTTACTACAGGACAAGGGCATTCTAGAAATAAAATTTTAGGATACTAACTTTTAAGAAATCATTTATCATTGAACCGAAGAATTTCAAATTTATCTTTACTTAATGATTAAGTAACATGCGTTTTATTTTATAAGTATCCAAATAACAACTCATTCTAGCATTATCCTTTATATATATATATGGGTTGTATACAATGAGACCATTTATCTTTGGTACAAGGAGGTCACGATTACATACAACCATTCCTTGTGGATTCTGATAGCTTGGGTGTGTCACATGGTTTGAGAAAATTTCTTTTGAACTTTGAGTTTGGTCAATGAAATAAATGCAGCCACCCAATTTCACATCTAATGGTCAAGATGGTCACAATTATTCTCGACCATTGGATGTAAAATTGGGTGGTTGCATTTATTTCATTGACCAAGCTCAAAGTTCAGAAGAAATTTTCTCAAACTTTGTGACACACCCAAGCTATCAGATTTCACATCTGATGGTTTTAAGTAATTGGGACCACCTTATCATAGGGAAATGACACCGTGTTATTATGATATAATGAAACCACACTTTTAGAAAACAATCCAATAAAGGTGCACCTCTAAATTTTATCATAAATGTAATTTTCATATAAAAAATTGTTAGGATGGCTTGATAATCTATTTTTATCTCTAATTATAAAATTTTAAACTCTAAAAATGGTTCAAATCAAGTAGGTCTATAAACACACGAAAATCTTGTAAATGGATGGTCCAGATAATATGTTGCGAGATACGCTATTTCACGGACTCGAAATCTTTTTTTATTTTCATATTCATGCATCTCAATATCGAGATGGTCAATTCGAGGGTTTTCCGACATCCAAACAACCTTTAATGATGGATTTTTGAGGTGCATCTTTAATTCTACATTTTAGGTTGCAACCTTATATGAACTTTTTCCATTTGTAGAATGGTTAACACCCCCAAATTTCTTTGTGGGACATTAAAAAAAGAGTGTGACTGCCTAATTTACCTCAATTGCTCATTAAAAATTGGGTGTGGTTTTGCATAAGGTTGCAACCTTAAACAATCCAATTAAGGTGCACCTCTAAATTTTATCATAAACGTAATTTTGATATGAAAAAGTCTTAGGATGGCTTGAGAATCTATTTACATATCTAATTTTGAAATTTTAAACTCTAAAAATGTTTCAAATCAATTAGATCTATAAACAAATAAAAATCTTTAAAATGGACAGTCCAGATAATGTGTTATAAGATACACTATTTTGCGGACTCGAAATTTTTTTTCTTTTGTTTTTTCATATTCATGCATCTCGATGATCAATTAGAGGATTTTCCAACATCCAAACAACTTTTTATGATGGATTTTTTAGATGCATCTTTAATTCTACATTTTATGGTTACAACCTTATATACATTTTTTCCTTAAAAATTTCCTGTCTATGAAGGAGTGAATGAAGGGTATTAATATCATTTTCCGAAATTCCATTTTGGAGCAAAAATTTCAAATTTTATTTTGGGGGGTGAGGTTCTCCCAATCGTGTTCCATAGCTGTACCCTCTCTCTCTCCTCAAACCATGACAACAGGAGCTGTCTCCCTTTGATGCTAAGCAGAATATCGCTCTCCCCTTGATGCGAGGAAGCATCTCGTGGCGTCTCCTGTTTCCGCCACCTCGCACCCATTGAATCTGGGGAGCTTCTCAAGGGACTCCAAAACAGAGCCAGAATCCAAAAGCCATGTGAGGGAAGTGCAGCCCTACTTTGTACGTGGCGATAAAGTTCCCAAAAGGTATCTCTCTCTCTCTCAACAATGGTTAATTGAATCCACTGATTTTCTTTTTTCTTAACTCCTTTGCTTCTTGGAAAATTCTCATTTTCTCTAATTTTTTTCTGGTTTCGTATTAGTCCAATTTGTTATTTCTTTTTGTTAAATCACAGTAGAGATAGGTCAACAACTCCAATGCCATCTAATTCTATTGAGTGTTTTTTAGCTTTCGGTAATTGATTTTGTTAATTTGATGTTGAGGCCAAAACTAGTTACATCGCTAGCAAGTATTGGGAGTTATTAGTTGAAATTTGTGTGAATTTAATTATTTCTTCCATCAACTTACTTCATGAATTTTATGAATGCTACGATTTCTATATTGGTAGGGATCAATCTATATGATATCGTCGTAACTCTAATCTTGCTTACTCCACAAAGATTAATGGACTTTTGGTCCGATAAAAATCATCCCAACTCTGACTTTCAGTAAATGAAAACCTAGTTCTGATTTTTGTGTAGGTACTAATTCATAGTTTTCCTTTTGGGTGGCAGGGAAGGAGGCTTGTTATGGAGATCGCCAAGGTGATGAGTAAGAAAAGATTAAGAAAATAATCCTACCTTGAGGATTCAAGAAGAACTTGCTAAAAATTAAAGTTGTTGTAGCGGTTGACAGGGAGTGTAATGGGGAGTGATTCAAGAGATTATTGTTGTGATGTGCTTATGGCATTTGATAACTAGGTTGATTGTAGAGATCAAGTTATTTACTTTGATGGGTTTTTGTTGTTCTTTTCCTATTTCTGTTTTTTTAATTCGATGATTAATGTGAGAATGAGATTGTTGGTTATGTTGATATGATGATTCGTTTGATGTTTCTTTGGGTTGATTGAAAATAAAGGTGCATTTTTTTTTATGCGAAGATCTTCAATTGTAACCAATGCCTAGTTCAATTTGATGGGAATGTCTAATTACTTGATGAATGTATGAGTTCGATTTTGTTTTCCATGAGAAATTGTGGCATTAAATTGCCTCAGGGGAGTACAAAGTATAAACCAAACCATGAAAAGGAGATTAAAAACAGGACTTTTGAGTATCTAGGGACTATTTAAAAGCTCAAATTAGCAATAAACAATAAAGAGCTAACCATTTCTCAAATGACATAATATAGGGCACTGTTTCAGAAAGAAAAAAATAGAAAACATAAGTTCTCTTAAATTTTGTGGAACATTTTGTGGGGACATCACACTGCTGATACTGATACAAGTTCTGCGAAGCGCCTCTTCGTTATCAAATCCATTGAGCAATCAAGTCGTGGCATGAACTAATATTTTGCAATAGATATATGTCCATCTGTTGTTCAATTGTCTTCTTCTCTATCCAACAAAAGAAGCCATGACACAGAGTCTTCCATTGTGAAACATACATTTTTCTCGACCTCTTCGAGCTGGTTTGTGTGAGTTCTTGGGAGTTCCAAAGAAGTACACCTAGCAAAATTAGTGATATGGCTAACGGCGAGAGGAAGCATTGATCAGTCAAACCAATTTCATGGGTTTTAGCTGAACCGCAAATGATTCTGATGTGAACCCAAAACCAAAAACAAGCAGCACATATACGACTTGAATTTTCTACTTGATTTCCCATTTTTAGGAAGACCTGAACCATGGCTTTTAATGCTAGCAAAACCCTTTTTTCCTTGAGAAAGATAGTGTGAAACATGGGACTAAATATTGCTCACGTGTTATTTTATGGCTCTTCCTGCCAACCCCAAATTCATGAAAGGAGGTGTTGCTCTGTTTCAGTCCTTCTGTGCCGTAAAGCAAAACACTATTTACAGCAACAAGAAAGACTTATCTAATGGGAAAGTAAAACAAATGGAAGACAGCATGATAGGAAGCACACTGAGCTTTAAATCTAACTAAATAGAAATACATACGGAACTTACCCACGAATGATTGTAACATAATGAAATCACGCTTCTAGAAAATTATGTTTGTGGTATTTGTATGGCCTTAATAATCAATTCCAAAAAAAATAAAACTCAATTTGAATCTTAGGGTTTGTTTAATAGCATCTTAATATTTTAGGATAATATAGAATCTATTATTATTATTTTAATTATATAAGTTTTGTACCTTGTTTGATAGTATTAAATCATATCTCCTAATATTCAAATAACCCCTAAATATCTGAATCCCCAACGATTCAAGTTGAATTTTATGGGATTCAATTTTTATGTCAAAATCTTTTTTACTTCTCTCCCGCTCTCTTGTCCATTTTGTCTCTCTTCCCTTCATGTCCAGCAGAGTAGTAGATTGCCAACCTCAATATGGGAAGGATGAGATCAAAGCAAGTGCGGAACTGCTATAGCCACATGATTTTGGATGTCTTTCTAAATCGGAAGACTTGAGCATGCGGCGATGTGAAAAACTCAAAGCATTGGAAAAACATCTAAATGAGTATGTTGATATTGAGATGTATAGATGTGGAAGAGAAAAAAAAAAAAAAAAAGAAAAATGGAGAGATTTCCAGTCTTAATAGTAGTATATCTTGCAACATATTATCTAAAATGTCTAAATATCGATTAAATAATTGGTGCACATGCGAGACTCATAGAAACTTTGTTCTAATTAAAAACATTTGAACATCATAAATTTTATTCCTTGAAATGAAAATGGAACATTAGTCTTGTTTTACTTTTGAAATTAAAATACACGTTTTAAATTTTGTATTATTAAAATAATGATTTCACCTCGAGTAAAAATAGCTATGAAATTTATGAATTTAATTAACGGAAAGGCTTATATAAGGTTGAGGCCCTAAATAATCAAATCACGGCGTATTTTAAAAATTCCCTAGAAGAGGTTATTTTGATGTAAAAAAACCCTAAAGTCAATCATCTTGACCTCGAGAGGTATAGACGAGCAAAAATTAGATTTCAAGTATGGGAAATACTGCATCTTGTAATGCATTAGCTAGGCCATCAATTTTGAATGTTTTCAAGTGTTTATTGATCTGTTCAGTTTGCACTATTTTTTAAGCTTTAAATTTTGTAATTAAAGATAAAAATAAAATTTCAGGATTTTGAGTCGATCACAAACATTTTTTGCTACTAAAAAATCATCATTCAACATTATTCATAGGTGTGCCTTACTTTGATTGTCTAGAACTTCAACCTTATACAAACCACATCAATTAATTAAACTATTAAATTAAAAATTTATTTTTAAAATAATTATTATTTATTGAAACTTCTTTATGAAAATAACACTATTAATATTCATACATATGAATAAATATTTTTTTCCTTTTTTTTTAAAAAAAATCAATCGGATATATTATACCACAGTTAAGGGTAGGACAACACAACATTCTTTTGATGAAATATCTAATGAAAGTGAGATATGATAAGTAGCCTACTAATTTTAGGTGATACAATAGTAGTTTAGGGTAGTTACATTGCCATTAGAACAAGAGACAGGAGATATGATAAGATTACAATTTATTTATCAAATAGTCAAAGATAAGATTTTCGAATTTAAAATTGCGAAAGAAGAAGAATCAAGAGCACTATTTCTTTCTCTATTATCTATATGGGATTTTCATAAAAATAAATCAATACTGTTGGATCTTAGGATGTTATTTATTGTAGGCACGTATAACGAACATGATCATTTTTTTCTATTTGCATGGGGCCAGTTGGTCATAAAATTACTCTGAAATTACTTTTCTTTATTATTATGAAGCTCCTTTGCATATAAATGATACTATTTCTGGTAACCTTAGAAAGATTTGAAAGGCTGGATTTGTTTGGTAACAATAAAAAATTAAAATAAAAGAGACATAACAAGAAAACAAAGAAAAAAATAACAAAATGAAACAAATTAAAGAAATATAAGGACCAATTCATTGGGAGAGAAGAAAAAAGAAAAGTGAAAATTCTATTTGCATGATTAGCAGCATATTAGATGCAATTGAAAACTTTAAGCTGCCTTGTAAAATATTAGCAAACATACATAATATTTATATTAAAAACATATAAGAATTTCTTGACAATATTTATGAAAATAGTGCTTGCCTTAATATTAATTGATTGTCAACTTAAAATTTTAATCAACTATTAAATTCTTTATAAGAATAATATCAACTTATAAGTCAAATTACAAAGTACTAAGTTACATTTGTTTTGATTCAATATAAGTTACATAGATTGTTTCACTATTAACTTTCCCTAGGTATCTCTAGAGCCACTTATAGTTGACAACCTATCACACAATTTGAGCTGGTAACACAAGAAATCAGTACCACAAATATAATTCATTACACTACTCTTAGCAATATTTTACTTAAAATTAATACACAAAACTGAAGTTTATTAACATGAAAAAGTTTATACAAGGTTGCAACCTTAAAATGTAGAATTACGGTTCACTTAAAAAAATCCATCGTAAAAAACTATTTTGAAGTTGGAAAACTCTCTAATTGATCATCTCCACATCGAGATATATAAATATGAAAAAAGAAAAAAGATTTCGAGTCTCAAAAATAGTGCATCTTACAACACATTATCTAGACAACCCATTATCAATATTTTAATATGTTAATAGATCTATTTGATTTGAATCATTTTTTGAGTTCTAAAATTTTACAATTAGAGATGAAAATCGATTCTCAGGACAACCTATGAATTTTTTTACACAAAAATTACATCTTACGATAAAATTTGATCGTGCAAATTATTTTGATTGTTTAAGGTTGCAACCTTCTAACTTATTTTAAAGAATTAAAGTCACGTGGATTCCGCTAGTTGTCTATAAGGAGGTCATTATTACAAGGATATCACAACTATTTTCACTCATTAGATGTTAAATTGGATGATTTAGAGCGAGTCGTGAAATTCGAGAAATTTTTTTTTGGAACTTTGTGTCTATTTTATGACACTCTTACAACCACCATTTTTTACATTTAAAGGACAAAAATGATTGTGACCTCATTGTACAAAAGACAACTTGCTTCTTTATAGACAATCCCTTAATTTAAACAACATTCTAAGATAACTCCTAATTCCAATGCACAAATAGACTCTCAATCTTAGGTCCCCCTCCTCAAAAAATCTCAAGAGTGTGAGGCATGCTAGCTTAAAATTGGTTTATTTCCCTCTCTTAAATTGTACAAGAGCATTTATTTTCATAGTAGCCACGACATTCATGAATTGTAGCACTTCATGTTTATTAGAGAGCTGTTTGAAAGCCGTTGCTTCCAATATTATGTTAACCTATGAAAACAACGGATTCTAACCTGTGGAAGTGGAAGTGGCAGCCCCTCATCCACAAAACAAAACACGGACTGATTCAAGGGTTACAAGTTCATTTTGTTTTTATTTTACAATTTAATTCAACTAAGGTATATATACAACTCTATATGACATAATCAATAAATTTAAATAACTTATATAAAAAATTAACCAATATACCCCTAAACATTCTAAAAGTGCTCTATCCAAACCAAAACATTCCAAAGTGCTCTATAAGAACTTTTACAATTTAATTCAACTAAGGTATATATACAACTCTATATGACATAATCAATAAATTTAAATAACTTATATAAAAAATTAACCAATATACCCCTAAACATTCTAAAAGTGCTCTATCCAAACCAAAACATTCCAAAGTGCTCTATAAGAACCGATACAGAAAAATGTGACGTCAGAACCGGTGATGTGTCCGATTTGTGACCTCATAAAGTAATTCGATGTAGAAAAATGGC